TATATATATATATATATATATATATATATAGTACTATATACTATATATATATAATACTATTATATTAGTTCTATATATATATATATATATATATATATATATATATATATATAGTACTATATACTATATATATATAGTACTATTATATTAGTACTATATATATATATATATATATATATATATATATATACATACATACACACACACTCTTTTATAGTGTTTTAATTTGTGTTTTAGTTTCATATTTAACACAAAGGCTGCATTAAAATGTAATCTGCTGTGTGCCTGCAGGCATGGCGAGCTGCATCCTTCTGTTCGAGAAGATCGTCCCTTTTCTTTCTGGAAAGAGCACCGTTGGGATGAACGGCTCCATTACACAGAAAGAGAAGACACAGTAGATTTTTGTTTTATCTAGGTGGGAGAACAATTCTGAATAATTAAGACTTTTCTCTGTGACTGTGGACCAGATTGGGCTTGATGAAGCATCAAAAACCCTTTTGGAAAGTTTATGCTCTAGAACAGAGGTACCCAAACTGTGGGGCGCATCCCCTAGGGGGGGCGCCGGAAGCCGTCTGGATGAACGGCTTAGAATGGCTAACTCTCTGTTATTCCTCTGTTAATTTGATACAGTAGGGGCTTCCACACTTCCCATATCTGTGTCCTTTGTAACTTTTATCAGCAGTTAAAACTGTTTAATCCGTTGTTAACATGTTGTAACCTGTTTTTTCGAGCCGCCTTTAAACGCAACATGAGCGCTACGATGCTCGCGCTGGGTTTACACCTGTGAAGGAGACCTGCTGCTGCTGTGCGGAGCTACGCAGGTGTGTTAGAATCATGGCGGCAAAACGCAAAGAACTTTTCACAGTTTTTCCCCCAAACTAACCAACTGTTGAGTAAAGGTGTTGGATGCAGGTAAAGTTAGCTAAAAGATGACTAGCTAATATCAATACAGCACCTTAAGCTTGTAGCTTGTAGGCTACTGGTGTTGTTGTCTATGTTCAGCTATGATTCATTTTGCCCCCCAAAAAATTGATTCCCCCCCTTGTTCATCTGGAGCCAGGACTGAGTATAACAGGGAGTCTCTAAGAATCCACCCCCCACCCCCTTTGCTCACACACATCGTTCAACCAGACAGCTATTTGTAAGCCATAAGGGGGGCCCAGAAATAGTTTGGAACCCACTGGGGGGGTGGGGGGCAGGAGAAAATGTTTGGGAACCCCTGCTCTAGAAGTAGATAGAAACATTTTGCTACCTTCGTGACTTTTCAGGCCAGTGGGAGGAATAACAAATCTGAACATGAACAGACAGAAACTTTTGCTCTCACCACTACATTTCCGTAATTTGTGAGAAGCAAAAATTAACCAACAGATGAAGAGTTGGATTTAAAACATGCAATTTTTAGTGATAACTAAAAACTCAATGGTGACCAAAAATACCATAACTGTTCAAGATAGACCAATATGGCTGATGCACTGAAGTTAATATCATGCCTATCATTAAAAATCCAAAAGAAAAAACTGTATTTCATATAAAATTTAATTTGTTTTGATTACATATGTCTGGGATTATTTTTCACGTAATGCGTACTCGCATGTTTTAAATGCGTCAAATGGCTCATAAATATCCTTTTAATAGCATTTATGCTTTCTATGCAGTACAGTGAACTCTTATACCTGCACCAAGTGCTGATAAACATTTCCAAGAATGTCTGAACACACCAGCTAAATGCAGTCAGGTTAATACTTGGTGACAGTTTCTCTTACAGGATCAATAAAGTCCATCTACGAACACTGTAAAATGATAGCACAACCTCTGTCAATGAGTTTTCTGTTTATTCCAATTACAGCGTGCAAATATTTACTAAAAATGTAATCAAAATGTAAGTTAGTTAAAATTATGTATGAAAGCCACAGAAACATATTGCTGTACTGTACCTACCTACCCACCTGCCTGCCTTTCTAAAGATAGTTGATACTCTGATATATTTCTATATATCTGACAGCAATTTAATGTTGTTTAATTATCTTTGTTTTAAATTAATTAAGCACAAAAGTTTTATTTTTATTTTATTTTATAGATTAATAAATATGGTTGCATTTTATGATGGCTTTGAATCTACCAAAGTGTTTCTGTTATTTTTAAAACTTTTTGTTGAGGTTTCAGACAATCATGGTAAGTTAATTTATTTTAGATGAAAATAATGTTTTGGTCTTTAGATCTTTATAGTAAAGTATTGCTGCATAAATGATATGTGCTGCTACAAGTGAAAGCTGCTTGAATGAAGTATTGACACAGGGTGCTGAGGATTGTAGTAAACTTACAACTTATTTGCATTGTTTGTCTTTATCAAATTTAAGCTATTGCTAATAGCTCATGTTGCTATAAAATTATTTTTCTGATTTGCTGTTTGTCAGAAAAATGTACAATACGTTATGTTTCTAGGAAACATGGTTTTGTACGTATGTAATAAAAAGGCATTCATTTTTAATATGTGAAGTATTTTGATTGGAATAAAAGGTAAACGAGGAGTTTTTGTCACTGATGTTTTGGACTTTTTGAGTTTGTTTTGTTTTTCTGATATCCCTGTCATCTGCAACAGTGACCCAACAATAATGTGACTTCATCTCTTGCAACATTTACTGAAACTGCAAGTGAATCTGATGGCATGACCTACTTTTTGGCTAATTTGGCTAATGATGACCTGATCACATTAGGACACTCGGAGCATTAAAAAATAATTCCCAGACAGTTTGTAGGTCCTTATATGGTGATGTTATGCAAAAAGTCGGCCATTCTGACTCAGTGGATCAGTGAATTTCACACCCATCATGCAAATATACATGCACTATTCAAACCAAGAGCCCATCAAAGGAGACACGCCACGCTGAAAAAAGTGATAGCACTTGATATTACACAAGTCTAAATATGAAGAAATTAAGAGATCTCAATAGAGAGTACAAACTGACACAAAGTTGGTGTGAAACCACCACTGATATTTAACTCAATTTCATACTGAAAAAGTCAGTAACAAAATAACCAAAACCACAAGATTGTAGGCAAAATGATCAGTGACTGTGGTTTTTCAGCATAGTGAAGGTGCCATCATGCTGTGTGGGGTTGAACTCATTATATAACTAAATATGCCTGGAAGTGAGATGCCTGTTTATATTACTCAAAGGGTCAGTAGCACAAGGAATGAATAAAATATTTCAGTCTGGATTTAGAACTGCTGAAAACATTCAAAATTAAATTACATAATAAAAATAACTGTTTATTTTTCCATTTGCAAAGTGAAGAAAGGTTTTGGGAGGAAGCTAATGTCAATCTCTATTTTTAACTTTTTATTCTATTTATTCTGTTAAATTGTTAAAAAGTATGTTTTACATAATTTTTTATCCTAATGATGTAAATAATATAAACCTGTGTTGTGTGAAAGAATACGTTTTGTAAAAATGTAAATGTGATACTTTTTGATCTGCTTTCTGTTTTGTTTTAGGTTGATAAAACTTTGTTGAATAATTCTGTAATTACTGTCCATATGAATTTATTGGTAAAGAAAGTAAAGTGTAAATATTTTTACCCAAAACCTTGGCACAATAAATGATCTAAATAACAGGTAATCCCCTCACTGAAGTCTGGATTATCAAAAAAAAAAGCTCCATTAAATCCTGCCAGTCCCATGGTACCTGTTACATAACATGAACATGTGACCTTTATTTAACTTTTACACTCAGATTAAACTAAATGTCAAACTAAAAGCAGCACTGATTACTTTGCACTGGTCATTTCATGAACAAGACAATTAGCATGGCATTCGGTGCTCACTGTTACTAGCAGATCTGCACGGAAAGTATGTTGATCTCATAGGAATTTGCAGCATCAACACCTTCCTGGGGCTGATGTGTGCAGACGACCTCTACTGGCAGATATGAGAACTCCATGTACTTTAAACTTTCTGTTTCAATATACTCATCAAAACCTTTGTACTCTCAGGTCTTCAGTTATGATTGAAGTCGACATATCTGGCAGAGCGTCTGTTTTCGGCGGCAAACACAAAATACTTTTTCACAGTGTTGGAAAAGCTTATATCCGCTGTTTAAATTCACTTTCCACTCCACTGTCTCCTGTGATCCAGTTACTACCTTCAGTAGTCTAAAGTCCCTGCAGTGTGGTTCTAATAAGCTCTAAGCTGTCCTTACACACTTTTATAATCACTAGCAGCTTCCTAAGATGCTGAATTGAGTTTTAGATTGAATCCACAAATACCTTTGCAATTATTTTGGGTTAATATTTCAGAGTTACACTTAGTAATCTAAAATTATTTAATGAATTATAATTCTACAACGTCTGATATTAACAATACAGATAGGTTTCATTGTAAATTCAGGCTAGTGCTATACGAGTTTGTGCAAAAAAAATTACATGTTTTTATTTACAATGCTGATATCACAATAACTGTAATGTGCTTTTGGTTTACACATGCTTTAGTAAACCAAGCCCTCAGTCTGATCTTTGAAATAATCCAAAAGGTGCTAAATCTGTGGAAAATTCAGTCAGTTGTGAGGATTTTATTTGGACTAACTCTTCATAATTTCAACTAGCCACACAGGCTTTAGTAGCTGTTGTGCTAACACTGATGACTCCTCCCAGTTTTAATGGACAAACAAACTCAATCTGGTAGCTAATCTAGATAATTTAACTTGGTTTCTGTAGCACTTTGCTAAGTCAGTCACTCATGACAGGACTTTCTGATGTTTAGACGTCTGATACATTATACTCAGTGGTGGACTGGACATCGGGAACACCGGGTCATTTCCCGGCGGCCTGGCTGCTGCTCCATTCAGGATCACTGAGGGATGGGACCCAACCTTGGGTTCAGGTCACACTTATTAAAAAATTATCCATGCTGTTCGTGTGGCTCACTGGTATAGGCCAGGCTAAAAGTCAAATTTATTTGGAAAGCAGATTTAAGTAACAATGAAGTTCAAAGTGCTTTGCATTGTAAAAGCATCATACAGTCACCAATTATGAAATACGAGAAAAACATTATATTTTGTCAAATTGCCATAATCAAAATCATCAAGCAAATAAACATCAAATATATTGATCAATGTTCCACTTACTGCTAATCAAAGGCAGCTCTAAACAGAGGTGGTTTTAGCCTTGATTTAAAGGCACTCAGTGTTTCAGCTGTTTTGCAGTTTTCTGGAGGTTTGTTCAAGATTCTTGGTGCATAGAAACTTCTCCATCCATTTTAAAGTCTATTCTCTGAGCTGCAGGATTTAGAACTGGGTGATGTGCTCTATGTTCCTGATTTTTGTCAGAAGATGATCAGCAGTGCTCTGGATCAGCTGCAATGGTCTGATTTTTTTTTAGGAAGACCAATGAAGACACTGTTGCAGTAATCAATGTGACTAAAGATAAATGCCTGGATGAGTTTCTCGATCTTTCTGGGACATTAGTTCTTTAATCTTGGTCAGAGTGATTGAAGATGACTTTGTAATTGACTTCATGTTTCTCTGAGGGGCCAGGTCAGAGTCCATCACTACAACCGCAAAAACTCAATAAACTGCTGTTGCAATAGGGAACAGACAGACACCTCTCACCCACTCCTTTCATTTTCTGAGCCTGTCACAGCAGTACAGAAGCACAGATTGTGCACAGATGCTATTTGAATGCCTGCAGATTAGATTACATTTTAAAGTTCTGAGTTTTGCTGACTTTGAAGTTTTGAACAGAAATTTCTTGCCAAGCCATGTAGACATTACTTTAAACTATTTGTGGAATCAAAGCCTGACATTCCCCCATCTACTTCCTGCTCAAACACGCCTTATATGAGTGGGACCAACGTCTACTGAAGGTGGAAGCTGATTGGTTGCAGCCTCTCTGCCTTCCTGAAATGTCTGTTTCAGGAAGTGAAACTCACACAGTCACTGTGACAGATAGAAGAAATGGAGCAGAATCAGATAGACGAAGAAACTTTGTCCTGTTCGATCTGTCTGGATCTACTGAAGGATCCAGTGACGATTCCCTGTGGACACAACTACTGCATGAACTGTATTAAAACCCACTGGAAGGATCGGAAACAAAGCCACAGCTGCCCTCAGTGCAGGGAGACGTTCACACCGAGGCCTGTGCTAAAGAAGAACACTGTGTTAGCAGCTTTAGTGGAGCAGCTGAAGAAGACTGGACTCCAATCTGCTGCAGCTGATCACTGCTATGCTGGACCTGAAGATGTGGCCTGTGATTTCTGCACTGGGAGGAAGCTGAAAGCCATCAAGTCCTGTTTAATCTGTCTGGCCTCTTATTGTGAGAAACACCTTCAGCCTCATTATGATTCAGCTACTTTTAAGAAACACAAGCTGGTGGAGCCGTCCAAGAACCTCCAGGAGAACATCTGCTCTAAGCATGATAAGTTGTTGGAGATCTTCTGCCGCACTGATCAGAAGTGTGTCTGCAGTCTCTGTTTAATGGAGGAACATAAAGGCCATGACATAGTCTCAGCTGCAGCAGAAAGGACTGAGAGGCAGAGAGAGCTGGAGGAGAGACGAGGAAAAATCCATCAGAGAATCCAGGACAGAGAGAAGGATGTGAAGCTGCTTCAACAGGAAGTGGAGGCCATCAATATCTCTGCCGATAAAGCAGTGGAGGACAATAAGAAGATCTTCACTGAGCTGATCCGTCTCCTCCAGAAAAGAAGCTCTGAGGTGAAGCAGCAGATCAGATCCCAGCAGGAAACTGAAGTGAGTCGAGTCAAAGATGTTCAGGAGAAGCTGGAGCAGGAGATCACTGAGCTGAAGAGGAAAGACGCTGAGCTGGAGCAGCTCTCACACACAGAGGATCACAACCAGTTTCTCCTCAACTACCCCTCACTGCCAGCACTCAGTAAGTCTAAGCGCTCATCCAGCATCAACATCCGTCCTCCGAGACACTTTGATGGCGTGACATCAGCTGTGTCAGAGCTCAGAGAGAAACTACAGGACGTCCTGACAGACTCATGGACGAACATCTCACTGAAAATCACTGAGGATGTTTTACAATCAGAACCAGAACCAAAGAGCAGAGCTGAATTCTTAAGATATTCATATGAAGTAACTCTGGATCCAAACACAGCACACACACGTCTGGGACTGTCAGCAGGGAACAGGAAGGTGACGGTGATGAAACAACATCAGTCTTATTCTAGTCACCCAGACAGATTCACTGGATGGCTTCAGGTTCTGAGTAGAGAGAGTCTGATTGGACGATGTTACTGGGAGGTGGAGTGGAGCGGTAACGTTTTTATAGCAGTCGCATACAAGAATATCAGCAGAACTGGAGATGGGAATGAATGTGGATTTGGATGTAATGACAAATCTTGGGCCTTAGATTGCTCCCAAAACAGTTCTAGATTTGGTCACAACAGCATCTGGACCTCCATCTCAGGTCCTGCTTCCTCCAGAGTCGGAGTGTACTTGGATCACACAGCAGGTCTTCTGTCCTTCTACAGCGTCTCTGAAACCATGACTCTCCTCCACCGAGTCCAGACCAGATTCACTCAGCCAATGCTGGCTGGAGTTTATTTTTGGTACACTGGAGACTCTGTAGAGTTCCTTAAACCCGGATAGTTATTCTCTCTTCTCTCGTTGTTGATCAGGGTTTCTTGTTTTGTTTCTCTTTAATTCCTGGTTTATTTTTGACTGTGTTCCACCAACCATAAAATAAGTCACTGCTGATGTTTTCTTTCATTCTGAAGACACAGAAATACTTCTCCACACGAAAATCTGAACTTCTCTGGCCTAGTAGTTTGACTTTAATATTTGTATTGATGTATTTAGATATTCAGGTTTCTCTTCCACTGTTCCGCAGAACAAATGTTCTTTTTTAAATCAGCTGAGACTGAAGTGAACTGAACTTGTTTCTGTTTTCTTTATTGTGATTTTAAAAAAATCACAATGAAGTAACACAATGAAACTAACATGAATTGACACTTATTAGCCACTTTATTAGGTACACACCTTGCTAGTACCAGGTTGGATCCTGTTTTGCCTTCAGAACTGCCTTAATCCTTTGTGGCATAGATTCAACGGTAATGAAAACCTCAGAGAGTGTGGTCCATATTGACATGATAACATCACAGTTGCTGCAGATTTGTCGGCTGCACATCCAGGATGTGAATTTCCCTTTCCACCACATCCCAAAGGTTCTCTATTGGACTGAGATCTGGAAACTGTTGGAGGCCATTAGAGTTCAGTGAACTCATTGTCATGTTCAAGAAAAGAGTCTGAGATGATGGTGCTTTATGACATGGCAAGTTATCCTGCTGGAAGTAGCAATCAGAAGATGGGTATACTGTGGTCATAAAGGGATGGACTTGGTCAGCAACAATACTCAGGTAGAATGTGCCTTTGACACGATGCTCAGTTGCTATTAATGAGCTCAAAGTACGCCAAGAACATATTTCACTTGCTATTGCACCACCACCACCAGCCTGAACCATTGACACAAGGCAGGATGGATTCATGCTTTCATGTTGTTGACGCCAAATTCTGACCCGACCATCTGAGTGTCACAGCAGAAATCATCAAACCAGGCAATGTTTTTCCAATCTTCGATTGTCCAATTTTTGTGAACCTGTGTGAATTGTAGCCTCAGTTTCCTGTTCTTAGTTGAGAGGAGTGGCACCTGGTGTGGTCTTCTGCTGCTGTAGCCCATTCGCCTCAAGGTTTGACGTGTTGTGAGAATATGCTCTTCTGCATATCTCGGATGTAATGGGTGGTTATCTGAGTTACTGTTCAGCTCAAACCAGTCTGGTCATTCCCTTCTGACCTCTGGCACCAACAAGGCATTTGCGCCCACAGACCTGTCACTGGATATTTTCTCTTTTTCGGATCATTCTCTCTGTAAACCCTAGAGATGGCTGTGTGTGAAAATCCCAGTAGATCAGCAGTTTCTGAAATACTCAGACCAGCCCATATGGCACCAGCTCATGCCAAGTTCAAAGTCACTTAAATCACTTTTCTTCCCCGTTCTGATGCTGTTTGATATGCAGCAAATCATCTTCGCCATGTCTACATGCCTAAATGCATTGAGTTGCTGCCATGTGATTGGGTGATTCAACATCTGCGTTAATGAGCAGTTGGACAGGTGTACCTACTAAAGTGGCCGGTGAGTGTAGTTGCTGCTGTTTTCTTGTGCATCTAGATTTAGATCAGAAAAATAAATGTCTGCTATTCAGTCAACATGTTAAACAGGCAACACACAATCGAGGATGCACTTATCAATAAAAGTGTGAACATTTCCAAGGTCTGTTTCACAGTTTAGTTTATCATCTATTGACCCAAGTTGACTGTATATGTTTATGTTTTTATGACGTAAAGGACTTTGAACTTCTGCATTGCTGAAATGTGCTATACAAAAAAACCGATTGATTTATTACACTTTTAAGCTGAACTTATGTATTTACTACTAGACTCACACTAAATCTAGAAGTAAAGAAAATTCTAGTTTGAGTTGCATTATAAAAACTTACATTTTATACAACATTTATGTGCTTACTAACTCATACAAGAAAACACCATGCAAGACAAACATAAGGCTTAAAACCCAGTTTATTATAAGAAATGTACAAGAGCCGATCCATAAGAAATAGCAGTAAACAAACAAAAGTATATAGCAGACAAAACACAATCCGTCTACTAGGAACTATGCACAGTGGACAGGGTTTCTTTCTTTCCAGCTTCATCATGAGGTAAAAAGGAAACAGTTAACACTTCAGTCGTTGGCACTGTTTTTTTTCACTGACCTAATTTTGTTTCATATGCAATACGTATCAATACATTTCTCAACTCACCCCACCAGAACACATTTTATTATACTAATATATTTGGGTTTGCTAAATTCTGTCCAGCTGAAGGCTGGATGTCGTAACATTTGTGTTCACGGTAAGCAGTTTGTAGAGATCTTTTGCATTTCCGGTCAATAGAGCAACTTATCCTCTGTAGACGGCACTCAAGAGTAATTTACAAAATTTTTTACAATATTCTCTGTCAAATCAGGTCATCCCATTCCCCTTCACTTGGTCAGCACATGCCTATGACACAACGTCCTCAGCACCAACAAAACAGGTCAGGAGACATCTGTAAAACATGCCCAGATTTTTTGATTTTGCTATAAAAATTGTTGTGCCAATATTACTTCCCTACAAAAAAAACAAAACAAAAAAACAACACTAATAGAAACCCATGCAATCCCAAAGAATTGCCCAATATATTTCCTTTTTCATGATTACAAAATGCCTCTAAATATATTACAGCCAAAACTACAGATATACACACAGACTGGTTCCAGCAGAGGTCAGTATAGTCATTGGTTTTAATTTTTTATGTCCATTCCTCCTGTGAAAAACTTCTCAGTTCTACTTCCAAGCTGCTTATTACACAGATTTTTGTCATAATTTTGAACCTTTGGGGATAAATCCAGAAAACCCGACTCGAGTTCAAGATTATGAAAAAAGAAGTCCTGGAAGATCTGGAGAAGAAGAGTGAGGAAAATAACGTTACTATGGAGCTGCATGATTTTAAACGTGCAATGAGGGGCAATGTACATAAAAATAAGAAACTTTACATTTTTACTCAATGGTTTAGATATACAAATAAAAAAAATACATAAAATAAATGAAATATGAAGACACTGCAAGATCTGAGGATTAGGAGGGACAATAGTTTAACTTTCATTTCCTCAAAACAATTCTCAATAACAGAGAGCTCACCACTGGTGCTGATGGCAATACACAATGCAAATAATTACACAATGTATACAATGTACAAAAATCTACGCTATTACTCAAATACAAAAGTTCAAAAAGAAGGGAGGGGTGAAAAAAAATACAGGTTGGTCACTCGGATACATTCACACCTTGAACACGAGATGGATGGAAAACGGATGGTGGGAAAAGAGAACACAGATTTCCAGATGCTGGCTGGCGTCATCCAGCTGTTTTAAGGGTTAGCTTATTCCATATGTAATTTACAGAGAACAATTTACCAGCCAAAAACAGGACAAAGCCAAGAAATCAAAACTCCACTGTACAAGAAAACATTTATTTTTGCAAGCTAAAAACAAAATTTCAACTGGGCGTATTTATTTGAATAAAATTTCTTCCTTTTAGATATTTAGAACACATTTTAACTTACAAATCCCCCCGAAATACACCTGGACTGCCATTAGGGGTTAGATTTTCAAACAACTAGCTGCAACTTTACAGTAAACTTGCAGTTCGCAAATTAGAAGCTTTAATTTCTGTGGAAATATTATTTAAGCCAAACATTGTAGGCTGGAAAGCTTGAGCAAATTCAAATATTTAATCGTTAATGTTAAAAATCCCTAAAAGACTTTGCAATCATGTATGTTCCAGTGGAAAAGCTGGTGAACAGATAAATCGGCCGTCACTTGCATGTGAAACCAATCATATTTACTGGAGATGTTAAACAAAAACATTGATTTCCATAAGAATTCCAATTTATCACTTACTAATGATTCAGAATTGATCTAAAATGTTCCAAAACCGACAAAAACAAATCTGTCTTTCAGCCTCCATTTTGTTAAAACGCGGTTCTCAGTTTGTGTTTCTGAATTGCAAAGTAGACTGGAGTAGATCATGAGATTAAAACAGAAATCACCACCAATAATCGTTTTGAATTTGAATTGAATCATGGCCCCAAAAATTGGCATAAAAGTCATAAAATATTCTCACCTCTACTGTCCAACTCCACCCCACTGTTATCAACTTAGCGACTGATACAGCGTCAGTTATGGAAAAGAAAAAAACAAAACAAAACAAAAAAAAAAAAAAAAAACGAAGATCAGCATCAGCAGCTCAGGCTTTTCAAAGATCATCAATCAACCAGAAAGCTGGTTGATTGACGGTGCAGCCTTAGTATGGAATGATACTTTAGGTAAGACAAGCAATCTAACAGTAACCAAATGTTCAAAATACAAACTGTTTCAGTGCCAGATTTTATAAATGTATGTTAGTGCTTCAACAGATTCAAATCTACAAAAAAGAAAAAAAGCTGGGAGGAAAAATGATGACGGGTTTGGCAGTGGAGGATCTGATGATGCGTTGGCGCCGAGAATGAAGCTCCATGTCGAAATAAAAACAACAACCACTGTTGGAAGGGGGAGGGAATAATAAAGTTAAGCAATATAAAAATACAATACCACAAAAAATAATAAAAGGTACACCATTTTTACAATTGTTCATTATTGCAGACGTAGTCCACCAAGTCTGTGACTCCCAACAGGTCGTCCTCGTCGTCGTCCTGTGCCACCATTTCCTGTCCTGCCAGTCCGTTCGGGGCGGCCGGTGTGGAACTCACAGTTTTAGGCGTCTCCAGGTGTGGAGCTGCGACGCCGTCCAAGTTCTTCGTCTCGCTCTGTCCGTTTGCGGGCTGCTTCTCTGCCGTGTGGCGGTCCAACGAGTTTGTTCCCTTTGAATCTTCCTTCTCTTCCTCCTCCACCTTCGTCTCCTTAGGCTTTTCCTCCTGCTGCTCCTCCTCCTCCTCATCGTCGTCATCTGAGTCGATGCGGTTCACTCGCTTTCGTATGGGTCGATCCTCCTCTGAAGAGTCGTCTGAGTCAGAGTCAGAGTCAGAGTCTCGAGACGCTCGCCTGCGTTTCAGCGCCAGCCGCCTGCACCGCTGCCGGGAGTCGTCTTCTGAGGAATCGACTCGTCGCTTCACCTTCAGGTCCTTCGACTCGTCTTCAGAGTCTCTGGAGAAACTCGCTGGAAGGAAGAAAAACGTCGCATGAAACAACAATAGGGCTGAAATGATTAAATGGATTAATCGTGATTAATTGATGAAATAAGTCAACTAATTTAGTAGCCAATTAATTGTTAATTGAGTGTACAGTTGCTATTCGCCAAAACTGTACAAAATGCATTTTGCAGTTAAAATGGAAAACCTTTTTCTGTAAACCTGTTCTATCCAGACCTCCTTAAGGTCACTTTTAGCTAAAGGAATGTTCTTATTACATTCTAGGCATTCTGCTGCTCCGATTAGCAGCAGAGACGGTTTCTGACTGACCGTCGCTGTCAGAGCTGTCCTGGTACCGCCTGGGTTTCATCTTGGCCCGGTTGGTTCCACCCTGAGAGCCTTCGGACCCCGACGTCTCGCAGTAGTTCACCTCCTTCTTGTGGCTCCGCCGGGACCGCCGCCGACTCATGTCCAGGTCGCTGTCGCTGTAGTCACTCGACCGTTCCGTCTCTGCAGGGGAAATCAAGACTCAATTAGTAAAAATAAACTATTATAAATGTTTTTTTTATAAAAATCTGGAAACAAGACTTTAAGGCGTAGATTCCTTTATATTTAGGGATCTTGTTTTATTTTATGCATAAATTTAAAACAGATTTTTCATTTTTAGTTAAATTTTTTGTAGCTTTTCCTAGAACTCTACTAGCTTGACGGATGGATGATGAATAAATAGTTGAATTTACGGTTTGACCAACTAATGGAGATGATAGATGGATGATAAACAATGGACCAATGACAGATGGAGAGATACATTTTCTTTATTATTAAGCAGAGATAAAAACTTGGTATTTCAGACCCAAACTCCCTTTAAAAATCATGTGAAAATCTGTTTATTTTGATCTGATTTATAATTAAAACATCATTTTTAATTGATTCCAACCCTTTTAGCGCCACTGTTAATCTACAGAAGTTTAATTTTCATTTCCTCCCTTGTTCACATTTATCAGCCAAACATAAGAGAGTTAAAGTCCAGCACGATTAAAAACCTCCAGAGTCTTCCTACCAATGTCGTCCTCCTCCACTTCATCATCCGTCTCTTCCTCTTCATCGTCCGAGTACCATTTGGGTCTCCTCCTCTTCCTGGAGCTCTGCCTGCGTTTCTGCGGCCTCCTTCTCCACGACGACGAGTGGCGCCGCCCGCCGTGGTCGCTGCCGTTCGACTCCGCCTCCGTTTCCGGCTCTGTCTCGTTGTCGGACACGACAAACTCTTCCTCCGAGCTGAAACCGAATACGAGGGGTTCAGTGGAGACAGGAAACCACGGCGCTGAGGGCGAGACCGAGGGGTTAAAACGTACGTTTCACTGAGGCGAAACTCTTCCTCGCTCTCCTCTTCGTCCACAGTGCTGTCGCTGTCCAGGTCGTTGAGTCGCCGGCGCTTCTTCCTGCGCTGGGCGGCGTTGGGTCGCGGCGGCCGGCCGTTCTCCTTCCCTTCCTCCGCCTGCAGGATGGTGGAGATGTCCTTGCCTCTGTGGCCTGTGATGTTTGCCATGTCCTTACCCCGACCGGCTCCTGTGTTAAAAATTATCATGTAAAAATATGAAATACAAATATTAAAAAGCTGCTTTTTCAGGTGTTTTTAGTCAGGATGGAACATTTCCAAAAGTATTAAACTTATCAGAAATAAAGATCCTTCCTACCTCCACCTTCTGCTTCTTTGATGTCTTCCTCAATGGCCTCCTCGATTGCTTCATCAAATTCATCAAATCTGTAAAACAAAAACAGTCGTTCGCACAGTGTATGTTTGTAATTTAATGCATCAGTACGCATTAATGAGTTTTTCCAACATTTTCACAAGGATAGTTTTACTTTACATGAATCAGGGTTAATAGAACTTCAATCACATTTACAGTTTCACCCAGATTGGTTCAGGGTTCATACGCTTTCCCACAGTAAAATTCAAGGATTTTCAAGTTTTCAAACTTTCTCAGCACCATACTTTGGAAATAAAAACAATAACAAAATAGAAAAGATCATTTTAATTTGCTGTTATATATAATCTATTACTTTGTTACTGTTTTTTGTAGTAGTGTTCTACAGAAGGAACCAGGTAAACCAAAATAAAATTGAATGTTTGAAATGTCTCACATAAAGACATTTTCTTTAGTAATCCCACCACAATTTATTCAGCATGTGCGCCCCCTTCTGGATGCTTTCTGCAGCAAAATAAAGCTGCTATTCCACTCCGTAAATTTCAAGAAGTTGCACAAGTTGCATATGTTTTTCACAAACTTCGATTTTTATAAATGAAATCTGGGGTGTATGACTTTTATTTTCAAGTTAAAACCGTGAAAGAGGGTGTTCTTTCTTCTTCTGTTGTTGTCAAGTTAAAACGGCAAATGGTACACTTGTGAGTGCATCTGCCATTTCCACCCAACTGGGACACGCATCACAGAGAATCAAGCGCACCCATCCCCTTCACGACTCAGGCCCATCTGAAGTCTCTAAGGTAACTTGGCACACCTGTGCTCACAATGATCTCTGCAGACAAAGAGCCTCAGCTTCAAGCTCCCACAAAGACATCACTGGTAGGAACTGGACATGATATCATTTAATCTGCATTCAGAGACCAAATCAGCCTTTGATTCAATGGGTTTGATGTGTTTGGAATGTAGTTTATTTGTTCCTTCATTCACTGTTAACTTCAAAGTAGATTAACATTACCTGGAAAACTAGTGAATGAGTTGATTGTGATCTGTAATTGATTTAGTTTCATTAGTTTGTAGGTTTCCAACCTGCTCTGTGACTCTCTGTGACTCTCTGACTACTTA